CATCATTCGGCAGTTTTTTTTTTTGTGTGTGTGTGTGTGTCTGTGACTTTTTAATGAGACCTCTTGTTTGTTCCCAGCTGCTCAGCACCAAAATAATCACACAGAAACCATATTATTTGCAATACTGTTTGGCCAATAGCTTAAGCATATTTCTGGCTAACTCATCTTAAATTAACCCATCTCCATTAATCTATGTATTGCCACGAGGCTGTGGTCTACCGGGTAAAGTTCCGGCATCTCCTGTGGGGCTATTTGGCTTCTCACTGACTCTGCCCTTCTTCCTCCCAGCATTCAGTTTTCCCCACCTAGCTCTGTTCTACTCTATCAGGCCAAGCCTATTTCTTTATTAACCAATGGTATTCACAGCATGCGGAGGAGAATCCCACATCATGTGACCATCATAGAATGCACTTCACAAACCTTGGTGAAAGAACTTTGTGTATGTCTAGGCTCTATAACACTGCTGGATGTTCTTTTGTTGACTGCAACGGGGTTTCATTCTGTGGATCGTGACCCCTTTGGGGTTTGAATGACCCTTTATTGGGATCGTTTAAGACCTTTGGAAAAGAAAGATATTTATATTACAATTCATAACAGTGGCAAAATTGCAGTAATAAAGTAACAACGAAAATAATTTTCTGGTTGGGGTTTGCCACAGTTTGAGGTATTGTATTAAAGGGTGTCAGATTTAGGAAGGTGGAAAACCACTGTTATATGGTATGAATGATAGAGGTGAAATTCGTGAGCCAGTAATTTCATCAAAGTAGAGTTGACATTGAAAAATAGACTACATGGAATGATTTTTTTTTTGTCCAGATTTCTTTAGATAGTCTGTAGTGTCCTGGAACTTGCTCAATAGACCAGGATGGCCTCAAACTCAGATATGCCTGCCTCTACTAAGTGCTGGGATTAAAGGCTCGTGTCACCACTGACCACCAGAATGGTTTCTTAGAGCTTTAATATAAACGGATAACTTTTATATTAATTTTATTACTCCTACTCTCTTCTGTGTTGACTAATTACCAAACTTTTAAAGCCGAAGACAATACAATACTATGTATATGTATATTAGTTGTGTGAGCAGTTGTTCTACCATACGCATGTTAATTTATTTATAAAATTTCTTTTTATAACATATTGGCTTTTTAAAAAAGGAACTTTTCTTGTTCCATAGGATCTACCTCAGACCCTGGAAGTAGAACCAGTTCTGAATTATTTTATACCTTAAGTGGGTCATCTGTTGACTCACAACAACAATCCAAATCCAAAAATTCATTGTATATTGATGAAGGTAATCTATAATTTTAGTCCTCTTTATAATGGTACCCTCTGTTTAATATGTAAGGGGAAATGGCTTTTTCATCAATATTTGTTAATTTTGGAAACAGTGAATAGATCATAGCTAATATGACAATATTGCTGAACTAAAATATTAAACACAGTTTCAACTACACTGTTATTAGGGTTGAGGATACATTTGAAATATGTTAGCAGTCTGGGTTTTGTTTTGCTTTGTTTTTTTTACCCGAGACAGAGTTTCTCTGTATAGAAAGTCCTTGCTGTCCTAGAACTTGCATTATTGATTTGTGTGTAATTCTCTGCTTTTCCTTTTGCATTTGTTTGTATACATATCTGTTATTCTTAATGCATGTTATGCTTAAAAGTGGAAACATACTAGTACTGAGTCCATTCCTAACTCTGATTTGTCTCCTACCCAAGATTTTATCAAGCTGTGTTCTGTGAAATACACTGATCCAGCATACTTGGGTGGCTGAGAAAGTTTCATCAAGTCAGTTTAGTGCAGCACATTGGTTAGAGGTTATCCAGGCACGTGGGCATGTAAAGGCTCCGGTTTTTACAGTAAACAAGATTGTCCATGTTTATCTTGAAACCCTCCATAAACGCTTGAATATAAAACACTGTAATGTGTAGGGTTGTTTTGGTCATGCTGATCTAGAAAATGTGACGAAAAGTATGAATAAGGTTTTCTTTAAAGCTTTTTAAAACTTCAAATAAAATTGACTGCTTCTGACTAACTTTTCAAAAATTAAAGCCTTTTGATAACTGATGATTATATTTTCTTACAGAAATTATATTTTTAAGTACAGTGTTGATTTTTTTTCACCTGAGAAATTACCTTTCAGTACTGTGGAGTCTTTAAAGAGAATCTGTAAGACTATAAAGATTGTGCCTTTTTTGTTGGAAAGGATTTCTTTGTTTTTTATGCTAAACTATGTTTCTTCCATATATAGTTAAAAAGTATGTTTACTATTTCAGAGAGCATGACACCGGAAAGGAGGCCTCCCAAACTTGCCTTTATGTCAAGAGATGATGGTGACAAAGGTTCATCTAGTATTAATGAACCAAAGGTTACAGGTATGGAGCCCATTCTTGGTAATTTACAATAAGATAATATGATTCTCCAAGATGTTAAATAAGCTTTATGTTATTGTTTGTGTGTGTGTATATGTATATATATATATGTATACATATAGTTTGTTCCTACACTTTATGTCAACTAAAATTTTATGTACATGATTTTAAGTGAGGATGTAGTAAAGAATCCACTGAAATGGCCAGCCTATGAGCTGTGGAGGGAGCTTTTTATTTGGATAAGAGAGAACAGCTGGAGGTGTTACACGCCTTCAATCCCAGCTCTCAGGAGGCAAAGGCACGTGGATCTCTGTGTTTGAGGCCAGCCTGGTTGACAGAGCAAGTTCCAGTGAAAAACACTAGAGAGAGAGAGAGAGAGAGAGAGAGAGAGAGAGAGAGAGAGAGAGAGAGAGAGAGAGGGAGGGAGCTTCTAATACACACCAGAAAAAGTTTCGGCCTGTGTTCTGCTTGTTCTGCTGAGCTTTGTCTAAATGAACCTTTAGGAGCTGACTGCCATGCATTCACACGGAGAATCCACAGTTTCACATGGGAAGAACAAGTCCCCAAGGATGATGTCATGTACAGCTGCCAGGGTGCAGCTTTTGGTGCTTTTGCTTATTTTTTTGTACAGCTTTTCTGAGTTGGCTTGGGCAGAATCTTCTTTGAGCAGTGAAGACTGCATGCTTGCCACTAAACTTTTTCTCTAATTCATGAACCATCCGGACTTGGATTTTCTGGAAAGATTTCTTCTGAGAAACTGGTGCTAAAATAAGGATTGCTTTCTGACCATCACCAGCTTCAGTTTCCTTGGCTGTGGTGGGTGATACTGAGTTTCCAAGCTGTGCCTTGAGATCTGAGTTCATCTCCAGCTCAAGCAGTGCATGAGAGATGCTAGACTCGAAATCATGTCTTCTTGTCGTCATCAGGCTTCCTAGTCTTGGTGCTTGAGGTGATCCTGGCCTTCTCCTGAAAGGAGGAAAGTACCCCTGGTCATATGGGTCGTGGGCTGCATTGTCAGGCCATTGACAGGCACAGGCCGAATATTCCACCACATCCCTAATGAGGGCACAGAGCCTCGGAGGTCCATCCTCCTAAACTACAAAGAACAAGAAATTGTGTTAATAAAATTCTAAGATGTTTATATTGTAAATCTAAAAAAATATATTATTTCTTTTGTAATGTTGGGGATCAAAGTCAACAGAACCTTATAAGCTAGGTAAGTACTTTTTTACTCAGGTATTGTTCCAGACACTGAGATTACTTTTTTATTTTTATTTTTTGGTGCTTGCTTCAAATCTTGCATCTTACACAAACTAAAATAGGACTCTACTCCTGATCCATATACCCACCCAAAACCTGAATGTTTTTTAACTTAATTTGTTCATCAGCTTGTATGATCACATTTGAAGTTTATGAAGGGAAATTATAATCATGAGCCACTTATTAATGGGATAAGTTCTGAGAAGTGCATCATTTGGCAGTTTGTTTTTTTGTGTGACTTTTTGATGAGAAATCTTGTTTGTTCCCAGCTGCTCAGCCAAAAAATAATCACACAGAAACCATATTATTTGCAATACTGTTTGGCCAATAGCTTAAGCATATTTCTGGCTAACTCATCTTAAATTAACCCATCTCCATTAATCTGTGTATTGCCACGAGGCTGTGGCTTACCAGGTAAAGTTCCGGCATCTCCTGTGGGGCTGTATGGCTTCTCTCTGACGCTGCCCTTCTTTCTCCCAGCATTCAGTTTTTCCCACCTAGCTCTGTTCTACTCTATCAGGCCAAGCCAATTTCTTTATTAATCAATGGTATTCACAGCATGTGGAGGAGAATCCCACATCATGTGACCATCATAGAATGCACTTCACAAACCTTGGTAAAAGAACTTTGTGTATGTCTAGGCTCTATAACACTGCTGGATGTTCTTTTGTTGACTGCAATGGGGTTTCATCCTGTGGATTGTGGCCCCTTCGGGGTTTGAATGACCCTTTTATTTGGGTCGTTTAAGACCATTGGAAAACAAAGATATTTATATTACAATTCATAACAGTGGCAAAATTGCAGTTATAAAGTAACAACGAAAACAATTTTCTGGTTGGGGTTTGCCACAGTTTGAGGTATTGTATTAAAGGGTGGCAGAATTAGGAAGGTGGAAAACCACTGTTATATGGTATGAATGATAGAGGTGAAATTCGTGAGCCAGTAATTTCATCAAAGTAGAGGTGACATTGAAAAATAGACTACATGGAATGATTTTTTTTTTGTCCAGATTTCTTTAGATAGTCTGTAGTGTCCTGGAACTTGCTCAATAGAAAAGGATGGCCTCAAACTCAGATATGCCTGCCTCTACTAAGTGCTGGGATTAAAGGCTCGTGTCACCACTGACCACCAGAATGGTTTCTTAGAACTTTAATATAAATGACTAACTTTTATATTAATTTTATAACTCCTACTCTCTTCTGTGTTGACTAATTACCAAACTTTTAAAGCCGAAGACAATACAATACTATGTATATGTATATTAGTTGTGTGAGCAGTTGTTATACCATGCATATGTTAATTTAATTATAAAACTTCTTTTTGTAACATATTGGCTTTTTTAAAAAGGAACTTTTCTTGTTCCATAGGATCTACCTCAGACCCTGGAAGTAAAAGCAGATCTGAATTATTTTATACCTTAAATGGGTCATCTGTTGACTCACAACCACAAACCAAATCCAAAAATTCATGCGATATTGATGAAGGTAATCTATAATTTTAGTCCTCTTTATAATGGTACCCTCTGTTTAATATGTAAGGGGAAATGACTTTTTCATCAATATTTGTTAATTTTGGAAACAGTGAATAGATCATAGCTAATATGACAATATTGCTGAACTAAAATATTAAACATAGTTTGAACTACACTGTTATTAGGGTTGAGGATACATTTGAAATATGTTAGTAGTCTGGGTTTTGTTTTGCTTTGTTTTTTTTTTACCCGAGACAGGGTTTCTCTGTATAAAAAGTCCTTGCTGTCCTAGAACTTGCTCTGTTGACCAGACCGGCCTCGAACTCACAGAGACTCACCTGCTTCTGGTTCCTGAGTGTTGAGATTAAAAGTGTACACCACTATGCCCAGCAGTTTGTTCTTATCTCTTAATACATCTGCTTAGGATCAACTGTTTTTAGAAATGAAGTGACTCATTTAAAGACTTGCCTATCTTATTTTCTTTAAAACACACTACCTTCCTTGTTTCCTAGATATCATTCTCCTTTCATGGATTTATTTCCTTCATCTGTGTAGGTTAATTACCTGGAAATCCTTCTAGTTCCTCCAGTTCAATGGTCTGGCTGACTGCTCTTCACCTCTTAAACTGAAACCTTTCCTCCCGCTGTACTCACTCACTCTCTTAGGTTAGGTTAAGTGTCCCTGAAGTGGTTTTGGTTTTTTGCCTGTATTTTCTATAAGTTCCTAGTGCTTCTACAGTGCTTTGTATTCAGTAGATTCAGTAAACTAAATGAAAATATAGTGTTCTAAGTCTCTAGGATGACTGCTTATGACATGGATTCAGTTATAAGCTAAAACACACAGTACAATCTACAGTTGCATACTATAGGTTACATATATACTCACACAGAAAGTGACCTGAGTGGGTATTTGCCACATCTGATTCTCGCACTGAGTGGGGTTTTGTGAGCATAGGCAAAATGACCTGCCTCTCTCAAGAATTCATCCTGGGCCGGAGAGATGGCTAGAGATTAAGAGCACTGACTGTTCTTCCAGAGGTTATTTAGAATTATTATTTAATTTTTATATCTCTTCATACTAATTTCTAACTTAATCATATTATGGGAAAGAATATAATCCATGTGATACTGACTAGACTTAGATGACCAATGCCAGATTACTGAGACAGGAAACTGTGGAGGTCGAGAAGAGGAGCAAGAACATTATTCAGAGCCAATGAGTTTACAGTGCTTTCAAGCAGGCTTGCAATGGGATCATGTGATCAGTTAGACTAGAACTTTGTATTGTTTTTAGAAGATGCATTCATATTTAATGTTCTTGAACAGCCTTTTCTAATTAAGGACAATTTTTCATAGTTGCAGAAGACCCTGCAAAATCACTAACAGAGCTGTCTCCAGACTTTGGACATTCATCACCTCCACCACAACCTCCTTCCATGAACTCCTTATCCAGCGAGAACAGATTGCACTCTCTACCGTTCAGCCTGACCAAGATGCCCAATACTAAGGGCAGCATTGCTCACAGCCCACTGTCACTGTCAGTGCAGTCTGTGACGGGCGAGCTGAACAGCACGCCTGTCCAGGAGAGTCCACCTTTGCCCATCTCTTCTGGTAATGCATACGGCCTAGAGGTGGGCTCACTGGCTGAAGTGAAAAAGAATCCCCCATTCTATGGGGTTATCCGTTGGATTGGCCAGCCGCCTGGGCTCCGTCACGTGCTAGCTGGGCTGGAACTGGTAATTTATTTTGGCTTGAAATCTACAACTTTTCTTCATGGGTTTTAAAACTAGGTTTTCCTCTATTAGATAATTTCTTGGGAAGTTATTTTTTTCTCAAAAAAAAAATTCAGTAGTAGAGGAAATATAGTAGTGCTTACCTTCACCCTTTGCCATCGCTAAGGCTTCTCACCCACTTATTCCTCATGTTTGTTTGTGATCAAGGAATAGATTGATTTTTAGGCTAGAACATGTAGTCTCCACATACAAACAGAATGCAGCAAAGAAAGCAGTTCAGTGACCAGTTCTCCTTCTTATTCTTTAGCCTCCTCCCATTGCAGTCAGTTCAGGGATGTGACTGACTTTAAAATTAATCATGTTTGGAGTCTTTGGGAGAGGGGAAGGTTTTATTTTTGGCTCTAAAAAAAGTATATTGTGTGATATTTCATAACCAGGAGGGAGAACTTGAATAAATTTAGCTATTGCCTAAATATAGTTTTTAACTTTTTTTCACTTGTCTTCTTGCTGTTGAGGAACTAGGTAATTTATCTACTCCTGCCCCTTGATTTTAATACTTTTGAAATGGCTCAGGGAAACTCAGTAAACCAAGGAAGTTCTAAGCATGTATTTTGAAAGGAAATGCATCAAATACTTCCCGGAGGGCTAAAGAATTATTTTCTTAAACCACCAGCTGAGGGCCAAAGCACCAGTTAGTCAGTCCCTTTTCCTTCTTGCTGATCTGTTCAGAAAAGATTTGAAAGAGAAATTCAGAAAAAGTGAAAACTCCATAGCTCTTCCCGGTGTAACACATACCAAAACCTTTCTTTTTCAGGAGGATGAATGTGCGGGCTGTACAGATGGCACGTTCAGGGGCACGCGCTATTTCACCTGCGACGTGAAGAAGGCTCTGTTTGTGAAATTGAAGAGCTGCAGACCGGACTCTAGGTTTGAGTTTCTGGAGCCTGTTTATAATCAGATTGAAAGGTGTAATTCTTTAGGTAATTGGATACTTTTAATTTATTTACCCATCTGGAATGACTGTTTCTTGCTACATTTTAGCATCTGAGGGTGACAGTGTTTAAATGTTTTATTTACTTGCCAGTGTTCATCAAGTTTCGAAGTTGGTAAAGATTCTTACTTGGTGCATAAGAGAGTTGTCCTAAGAGGAGATATGTTGAAAGAAGAGTTAGGAAAAGTGTTTAGGGTCTAAAGACTGAAAGGTGGTGTTTTTTCTTCTCTTTTATTGATTATAGACATTAAATTTTTGGCAGTGTGGGTGGTAGAAATGAAAATGTGGTCCCTTTAGCAATAACTTCCCCATCCGCATCTTTTTAAGTACCTCATTTCGGATGTCCTTATGAAGAAATCTGATACAGTCTGGGGATGCAGTTGGCTTGACAGATGGAGGACAATTCTTCTCATTGTCACTAGCTTGCTGATGCTGGCCTTTCCCTTAACAATACTGAGAGTCAAGCAGGGGGAAATAGGGAAAACATCTTTATGAAAAACATTTTTCTTAATGTTGAAGAGTATTTTGGAAACTTGTTTCTTTTTATACTTGAAAATGAAACATTTTGGACAAGTAACAAAATATTCTTTGACAGATGCTTAATTGACTTAATTTTCTAAACTCTATATGACAGGAATGATGTTGAAAGTGAATAATTGAATTTTTATAAGTCCAGATAAATATCAGTAAACTAAAGTAAAAAAATGCAGAAGATGCCAAAATATACTTTAAATGATATATATATATATACATGCATATGAATATATACTGTCATGATTTAAAAGATTATTTTTATTTTTTATCTTTTCAGTATTTGGAGGCTACTTAAGTGAAGTAGTAGAAGAAAATACTCCACCAAAGACGGAAAAAGAAGGTTTAGAGATAATGATTGGAAAGAAGAAAGGCATCCAGGGCTATTACAATTCTTGTTACTTGGACTCAACTTTATTCAGGTAAGTTCCTATTTTCTGCAGTAAGTGTAAATAGTGCTGTGTGGGGGAGAGGGGAGACAGGTATGTGTGTGTGTGTATATGGAAGAAGGTGCCAGTTGCCTTTGAGTAGAGAAACTGACAGAGTTAGGAAAGATCATGAGATTTGGTCCTTAGTGACTAAAGAATTTCATATCCTATTCCTAGATCCAAAGCACTAATATAAAAATACTGCAGTGAATAATGAGTGAACAGATACTCTGAGGACATCTGCCTCCAGTGTAGATGATGGCACGTGTGCCAAGTAACCTGCAGCAAGCTATTGGCATTGCGTGCTGCGTGGGTTCTGGAATCTCGAGATGATCATAAAAATTCTTAATATTAAAAATTACTTTCCATGGGATCACTGTTGCCCTCCTTTGTGTAGTTTTCCCTAAAGTGGATCAAGTTGAACAGCAAGGATCATTAGGCTATGAAGATTGCATCTATAGCCGTAAGGGTTGTGCACTGCCAGTGAAGTGGATCTGCCACTCGGTAGGCTGTGCCACAAGAGTTAGGAAGTTAGTGTGGAAGTTAGAATTTTAAAGGAGAGAGCACAATAAAGGTGGGTCTTGTCGTTGCTGGAATACTTTTGATTAAACAAACAAGCAAGCATTACTATAATATTCCTTAGATTTGCTGATAAAAATTTATTTTAACTAAATTTATTTTCTTTGATACCAGCAAATTTTTATTGCTAATCACTCACAAGTTATTATAAGGAAATGCCTATCTGATGATAATGAAATGAAGTTGTCCTGACTAGTCTGATCTGGTCTTGACCAGTCTCTGACTTTCTCCCTATGTTGTCTGTGTGTGTGTGACCGATTTCTAGGCCTCTCTTGGTTTATGTAAACAAGCTTCTTTCATAATGTTCTCTGGCGTGTTTTCAACCTTCACGTGTATGGTGCAGTCTTGGTGTTTCTGGTCCGGATCTGCAGGGTCTCCGGGTACTGAGCACAGGGCCTGTGTGGTCTGTCCATGAGTTCTTAGGCCAGTGGTTCCCTACACTTTATCCCTTTGCCTCTTCCTACTCCTTTAAGAATCTTTCTCAAATTTTATTCTTTTTATAACATGAGGAAAATATTCTTTTATTTTGCAGCTTATTTGCTTTTAGTTCTGTCCTGGATACTGTGTTGCTCAGACCCAAGGAAAAGAATGATGTGGAGTATTATAGTGAGACCCAGGAGCTACTGAGGACAGCAATAGTCAATCCTCTGAGAATGTAAGTAGAAGACATGTGTTTTGTCTTTAGTTGGTGTTCTGTTTACTGTTTTCTTGTATAGTAATTAATTTATGCTCTGTACTCATGTAGTAAAAAAAAAGAAGTTAGTTCTCATGAAATACTGACTTTTTAAAACCTTTGTTTTTTGTCCTCTGTTTATGTGTGTTTTAGTCTGGGCAGTGCATTCTGTAAAATGATGGGACTCATTTGGAGTCATGCACTACAAATTTATCCCTTTGCCTCTTTGTCTAGTACATGACATTGCACTAGAAACAAGTGAGGTATATTAAAGTGACATGGTGTTTTGTTTATTTAAAAGAATTTCTTTAGGTCTTCTTTTACTCCTTTACTAAGGTAGTTGTAAATGTGCAGAAGACCATGTAGGAAGACTTTGATACATGATGCTGATGTGTGATGACTTCACAAGGCGTTTATGTGATGAAGAGTTAGATTATCCAGTGATCAGGAAACAGATAGCTCAGGGACATAGAGAACAAACTATGCAATTTAAAGTCCAACTGTGATCAATTTAAACTTTGTGGTACACTTTTCTTAACAGTGAAAATAAAAATTAACGTAATATATTTAAAAATAACAAAATATGAAACTATAAGGAGTATTCCAAACGACGTACTGTGTCACATAGCTAAGAAAGTAAATTAAAAGTGAAACAAATTTCTCTAGATACTTGTTTGCCTTACTTTTCTAATCATCTTATCCTTTAATTATGTGCTTTGATTTTAATATTAATTATTTTGTCTTACACAAATTTTAAACTCTCAGATTTTTCTTTCCCTATGTAAATGACACTAGAACAGCACAGGTCAAATCTTAACTACAAGGCATATTATCACAACCTTCCTTCTTTTTAAAATACTGTCAATCCATCAGTAAACGTTTTTTGCATACGATTGCCCAACTAGTCCAGAATCATAGTTATTCTAATTTTGTCACCAGTCTATAGAAAACACTTGTTGCATGGCCTATGAGACCAAGGTGCGTCTTGTCAGGCATGGTGGGATATACCTGTAATCCCAGCACTTGATAGCTCAAGAGGCTAAGGCAAGATCAGTAGTTCAGAAATTTGAGATATATTTCTTGTGTCTGCAAATGTCATATCTGTTGTTTGGACAGAGGTTTCGCATTATGTAATGGAAGCACCCACAGGTAGAGATCCTGTTTTGTTTATTTGGTTTTTTGTTGTTGTTAGGTTTCTTTAATCTCCTTTTGTATTTTTGGTGCCCTACATATAGCATTACACAAGTGGTAGGTGTTTAGTGTTTGCTGACTGCAAAGAGCTACCAAGTAGGTGGATGGTCGCTCTAAAAAGCGGGTACACAGTATGATTAGCTGTCTCTGACTTGTTCTTGTAAGCCCATGGTCTCCTATAGTCAAACAAAGAGAATGTCATAATTATGTTGACTGTTTGATTTCAGACTTTAGATTTTTAGTATCTCATCAGTTCCCTTTTCCATGTCTCTTATCCTGTGTAATAGAAGGGCTCTCTCAAATTTGGATATCCTATTTTATAAAATAAATATTTTAATATAATAAGCAAATGCCATTTAAAAATTGCTTCACCCAGGCTTCATAAAAAGTTCAGAATTGTATTAGTACATGGTAGTTATTTTTAAGGTGTTTAATAGTATCTGGAAACAATTCTGATTCTCAGACTTTCACTTTTCAAACTTCTGTAAGAAGCCTACAGTTGTTTCTTAAAAATAAATGCCTTGTCTCTTGTTTTTTTTAACATGTTACAATTGTATGAAAAGTACTTGATTATTAAGATGTGCCATATGACTCACTGTGCCAGTGTCAGTTAATTCACTTTTATCAACAGATATGGATATGTGTGTGCCACAAAAACTATGAAACTGAGGAAAATACTTGAAAAAGTTCCTGCTGCATCAGGATTTACATCTGAAGAAAAAGGTGACCCTTTTAATTTATAATATATGCATTGAAAATAACTTGAAAGTTTATCATCTAGTAATATGCTAAATTATTTCCTGAAATATACCAATTTAGTTTAGAGGATTAAATTTAAGTTAGATTCATTTGAGAGGGCTAGGAGTATACTCAGTGGTGGAGTATGTAAGAGGCCTTGGGTTTGATTCCCAGCACTGCAAAAATATGAAAAGTTTCTTTTCTATGTGACATGCATATTTCTCCTGATTTTGTGATTCTTCTGAAGTGATGTGATGTGGAAGAAGTCTTTAAGAGGCCAGCCGGCTGGCTCTACAGAAGATGACCAAGTAAAGAGCTGTCCTTGTCCCCAGCAGGGCTGTTCGGAGCTGCTTCTCTTCCTGTGATAGGGAGAGTCCCCAGCACTCAGTTTCTCACTGTGCTCCCTGTTGAAAGGGGCTGTGGAGCAGTTGGCCGGCACTTCTGTCTGCTCACAACTGAAGAATTTGCTCAGATTCAACTCCTGAATTAGTTTGTTAACAGTATACTATAACCAGCTGTGGCATTTATACACATGGCTATTACTAAAATAGAAGAAAAAATAGGGCATATACCAGGTATATTCTACTGAACCTCCCAAAAGACATAAAAATGATTTCACTGTGTGTGAATGAGTATATTCTGTTAAATAGGGCATCATGACAACAAATGGAAAAGTAATGTTTTATTATAAGTTTTCCCTTGTCAGGAGAACCTGAAATAACTAAACTTTTAATTAATATGTCTCTCTTAAAGAATAGAATGGTTTTTAAATTTTCTCTGTGATTCACTTAGGTTTTTTGTTGTTGTTGTTTTATTTTCTCCTAGATCCTGAAGAATTTCTAAATATCCTGTTTCATGATATTTTAAGGGTTGAGCCATTGTTAAAAATAAGGTAGGTCTCAAGCTGTCTAGAAGCATTTCAGAAGCAGACCTTCTTTTACACTGCCATTGCCCAGTAGCTAAATGTTGCTAGCATAGATGTGGGTTTCACTAGCTGCTGTCCTCTCTCTGAGCTACACTTAACTTCCAGGGCACAAGTGAACCTGTTCTTTTGCCCTAATGACAGATGTGCCCACAATTCAATTACTTATGAAATTGCATGTTAATATTTTTGAAAGTTCAGTTAGTGAACTTTTAAAAGGAATCTTATTCTAATTGAATTTAAAAAAAGAAAAAAAAAACAGTGAGAGCATTGATTTTGGCTTCCCATAACTTACAGTTAGCCTTAAGTTAGCTCTTTCATTCTCAGTTTAGATCTTCCTTCCCCCCATGTTGAAAGAATACCTGAGTTTACTGCGATACAGTTCTTAGTGGGATGTTTGAAATGTCTGCTCTTCCCAGGTCATTTGAATGGTGGGCCCCTCTTGATTTCAGTCTTGGTTTCTCTGGTGAAAATCTTAGGAGTGTGCTGCCTACCTTCTTAAGAACCCACACTGATGAGTTCTCTTTCCTCTTGTGTCTAAGCAATGCAGTTTGAACCAGGGTTAAACTGATTTTGGAACAAGGAAAGTATCACAGTTAAATTTGGTTCTCTTCAGAAATCTCTAACTAGTGAACTGGCATGATGCATAAGCTGGGTGTACATACTTATTAGCAAGTCCAAGTTGGTAATCGCTTTCTATGTACCTAGAAAATCCAGAGAATTATCTACAAAGATTTAAGAAAAGAATTTATTATAGTCTAGCCATGTAAAAATTAATCATGGAAAATCAACAACATTTTTTTATTCCTTCAAGCATATAGAAAAAGGAATATTTTATGTTTTAGGAAAGAAAAATAAGCAATCATTGTTTTCAAAGATAGTGTTAAAAAAAGATTTACACTGAGCTACAAGGCAGATTTGATTAATTAGTGAGAAAGAGTAAATAATTAAATATGTGAATTTTTTGGTTTGTTTTATTCTTTTAATGATTTTTACATTCCAACTACAGTTTCCCCTCCTTCCTCTCTTCCTAGTCCTTCCCTCCCACCTTCTCCCTCTCCCCCCATCCTCTCCTCCTTCATTTCGATTCAGAAGAGGGCAGGCCTCCCATGGATATAAAGCAAACATGGATATAAAGCAAACATGAGGCTCAGAGTGTGAGGTGCGGTCCATCTTGGTACAGTTGTAGTGGGACTGTACCTCAGCCGGTGTCCCTGCTTCTGCAAGGGAAGCAGATGGAGATCAATGCAGGTGCTCAGCTCACTTTCTCCTTCTCATTCTGGGGCCCAAACTTGTGAAATTGTGCTGCCCACATTTAGGGTGGATCTTCTCACCTCAACCCAATCAGAAAACTTTTTTACAGTTATGTTTAGAGGTTTATCTCATAGATGATTCCAGATCCTGTCAAGTTAACAATATTAACATCACAAGACCACTTATTGTCAACTTGATACCCAAATATATCATTTAAAAATACATTTAATTTTATTTTTAATTGTGTGTATGAGTTCAGTGCCAACAGAAGCCAGAAGAGGATGTCAGATTTCCTTAAGCTGGAGTTACAGGCAGTTGTGAACTACCTGTTGTGGGTTCTGGGGACTGAGCTTTGGTCCTCTGTAAGGGCAGTGTGCTGTCTTAACCTCTTGATAGCTGAGACATTTCCTACCACTTTTGGTTATGAGCCTTAGTTGTTTTTTTTTAATGGCTGAACTCTCTCTCTCTCTCTCTCTCTCTCTCTCTCTCTCTCTCTCAGGCCCCAAGTTTTTTGAGACAGGATTTCTTTGTGTAACAGTCTTGGCTACTAGCTGTCCTGGAATTCACTTTGTAGACCAGACTGACTTCAAACTCACAGAGATCTGCTTGCCTCTGTCTCCTGAGTGCTCAAATTAAGTGCATGCTTCACCACACCCGACTTAAACATATGATTTTAAAGCTATTACTTTCTACTCTTTGTCCCGATAGGTTCTTGGTCATCTTTAATGCAGAATACATTCATTCTAACTTCAGAAGTTTCCATAATTTTTAATGTTCCAACACTGTTCAAAAATAGTCTTTTTAACCATGAGTTCCTGAAAAACCAATAAACAAGTTTTGTACTTCCAGCTTACAGTGGCACAGGGTTGGTTCTCATCCCAAAAGGAAGGAGTTGGGGGCAGAGCAAGCAAAGAAAGGCCAGAGCAAAGCAAGAGCCACAGAGCATCAAGGCAGGGCGACCCCGGCTCCTTGTGGCTGGGCAGTGACGTCACAAGCTTCACACACTCATCATGGAGCTGCAGGATTTTGGAATGAGTATAGGACCTCAGGACTCACCTATTATGGTCCAAACCATACCAATCCATGAATGTTTTTATATTCATGTTTGTAAAATGTCAATATCCACTTTTTACAATTTACCAAATTTGTATTCTTGTGCCCTTGGATTGTCCCTGGTGGAAAATACAACCCAACTAGCATGGCTTGGTGCAGTTTCACAACTTGGTTATGATTCTGTAGGTTTCCAAACTTCTAAAACACTAGCCATGGGGTTATTTAATTATTTTTATCATTTTCTAAAATTTTCATAAACCCCATATTGTATATTGAGTATGTTTCCCCTGTACCTCCATCCCTCTGTCCCTTTCCATGTCTTCCTCCTCATAGTTCCTTTGTTCCTTAGGCAGCATCACGTCTACTTTCATGTCATATCAAATTAATGCTTTTTGTCTCTCTGTAGACGATCGAGGAACCATAAATGAGAGAAAACATACATTGTTTCTCTTTATGGGACTGGTTTAATTTGTTTAGTATGTTTATTTCCAGTTGTATCCATTTTTTATTACTGACATATTTGTTCTTTATAGTTAAAAGGACTCCCCTGTGCATATGATTTGAGGAGTGATTTTTGTTGTTTTGTTTTTCGTTTTAGGTTTGGTTTGATTTTTTGAGACAGGTTTCTCTATATAGTCCTGACTGTCCTGAAACTTGCTTTGTAGATCAGGCTGGCCTCGAACTTACAGAGATCCACCTGCCTCTGTCTCCTGAGTGCTGGGATTAAAAGTGTGCACCACCATGCCTGACCCTGGAAGTGAGGTTTGAGTGGCTGTTGTTCCTCCCAGTTTTCTGCTACAGTGTTAGGACACTATGTATCTCTTCCTCCATTAACTAGCTGCCATGCCTCCTCCTGGCCATCCTTGATTTTTCTGGGTGTGATTTTTTTTTACCTCCATTATTTTTGTTTTCTCTTCTATGCTATTTTTAACTATGAATTTTTTCTATGATTTTTTTCTATGACTTTTTCTATGATTTTTTGTAGTCATCAACAACCAATTAAAATGTTATTCTAGAATAACTGCTAGTTTCTTGAATTATAATCTGTTCTTATTAGCTTTGAGTTCTCAAGAGTGCTGTAGCTAGTTACCAGATTTTATGTTTTGTAAATTCAGGACATAATTTGCTTGGGGCAGCTGAAGATCACAATAGGCTGCTCCCTGAATCACAGAAGTTTTGTGATTAAAAACTGCTGACAGTTTTTTTTTTCTAAAACTCTTGAAATCTAGACATACATTTAAATAATCTGATTCTAAACCCAGACACTTGGCTAAAAAAGATAAGCGGTAAGCTGAAAGATGAAAAACAATGTTCTCCGTAGAGTTAGTTTTAATGGTTACTAGTAAGCTGGTAAGGGAAGGGAGATGTTGGACCCTCATGTTTCACCGTGACCATTTACCTGGTGTTTGTCAAGTTGGTGGGTGAGCATCTAAAGAGCTGCTGGTAGCTGAAAGCCTAGAGGATAGTTGTTAGGGTTCCTGGGAGTCACACCTTGCCCTGTTTTGACTTGCTAGGAAAGTATCTTCCCTCCCTCCCTCCCTCCCTCCCTCCCTCCCTCCCTCCCTCCTCCCTCCCAGGGCTTTTATTTTAGGAAGTAAAGAAGTTTGATTTAGAAGGTCTAAGAGTCCGTCACTGAGGCATTGTAGCATTTGTTCTAGTCAGTAAAAGCGGTGCTCACAACTGTCTGTAACATCAGTTCCTGGTGACCTGACATCCGTGGTAAAACACCAGTGTACATAAAATAAAAATTATTTTTTTTAAAAAAAGTAGCTGCTACTTTCTAGATTTGGAGGGAGAAGAACTGAGTATTGTTCATATAGTGTTTCTTGTCTGGAATATTATTCTACATTTTTCTTGTGATGGCAAGAGAACTTTTGAATAATTTATAAAGAAGGCAGAAGAACTAATTTATGAGGTCTTCTGCATAAGCACATTTAACTATCTCATCCGAATCATTGTCTTTCACCTGGTGTGTGGACAATCCAAAGCTGGACACGAGCATTATGATGCTGTGTCCTCAGGTCTGTCAGATGCTTCATACTCGATTCAGGCATTTGGTAAATGGCTTATATGCATTTCTTCCTGTGTGCTCCCAGATCAGCAGGTCAGAAAGTCCAAGACTGCGACTTCTATCAGATCTTTGTGGAAAAAAATGAGAAATTTGGAGTTCCTACAATTCAACAGTTACTAGAATGGTCTTTTATCAACAGCAACCTGAAATTTGCAGAGGTTAGTGATTCTAACTGGACTTGTACTGCTACTTTATTTTGTTTCTTATCAATGCTAGATATTAAACTCAGGCCTTTTGTACACACTGCCCCAAGTGCTGCCCCACTGAACCACACCTAGCTGTCACTGTGCTTTAACCAAGAATAGTTTGAAGAAATAGTTAAGAAGACACTTTTTTTTAAAAAAAAAAAAGTTATTCTAACTTTGTTTTTTTAAAGATAGCTGCGCTTAGCTTAAGTTGGAATGTTTTAGATTTGGGTTGCAAAGGGAACAAAAGCTAATTTTTAAGTTTAAAGTAGCTTAATGCAAAGATATGTGTGCATACATGTTTATGTTTTCAGTTGTCATTTTTCCCATGCATAGTATCTAAACATGTCAAAGGTAATGTTATTTTTTCTCCCTCTGCTAAGAGATAAAATACCAATAAATTCTTGTGTATGGGTTTGCTAATGAATGCAATAGAAACTTCTCTTTGACTGTCAGAATGTGTTATCTCTGCAGTGCATGCCGTGGTCTGTTTTATCATGTTCATCTCTGGGGAAGTCTGGAAAATCTGTAGCTTATTGCTGCTCTGCATCCACACTGCACATTCACAAGTGGGCTCTGCTTCATGGGCCAACAGCCCTGCTGAAACCACTACTGGGTTTGACAGTTATGACTATTTCAGTTTCATAGGGAAACTCGTTAGTACAGGGGTTAGGACTCAAGGCTTTGGACATGCTAAGTAAGCGCTATATTGAGCTAAGTCCCCAGCTCCTTAGGACTTTGGTTTCTAAAACTATGTGTCTTTTTTTTTAGGCACCATCATGCTTGATTATTCAGATGCCTCGGTTTGGAAAAGACTTCAAAATGTTCGAAAAAATTTTCCCTTCTCTAGAATTAAATATAACGGATTTGCTTGAAGACAGTAAGTATATAGTCCGTTCTTTGATTTTTGTTTTGTTTTGTTTTGTTTTAGAAATAGTTGGCCTGGACTTTTCATTAGTTATGAGTATAGTACTTCTGACAGGTAATTCAGTAGTTGAAGAGCTTAGACATACTAACTTAATAATTTGACTGCTACAATTTATTCTAAAAAAAAAAAGAGGTAAAAATAAATAATTTAAATGCAAATTTACTTACTATCTGACAAGAAATTAGAGACAAGAAATGTTAATAAGAGGGAAGTGGTTAATTGGATTATATGTCTAAACAATAGACCTACGTGAAAACAGTGTGTGGTAGTTATAGTGGAAGGGAAAGCATCGAGAGGCTAGATGAGAGAAGCTTGAGACACACGTGTACCTAGGTGCACATACTTATATAAATATTCAGACGTAAAATTGTTACAGAAAGTTCATAATGGCAGTGATTGTTACTTACTGACATAAGATCATATGTGCTATTAGTCTTCAATACTTACTTTATATCTTTGAACATTTCATGACCAGAAAAACAATTCTAGAATAGGTTAACAAAAATGGTTATATGAAAAAAAAGTCCTTAAAAATACTTCAGATACAAAAAAAAATCCAAATGAAATTTTAAGAGGGTCAGAGAGGACTAGGCCTTTCTTCTCCCCAACCCCCAAGCATTCTTGTTTTCAAAGTATAGCTTTTATTTTTAATGACAGAATGTCTTTTTAAAAAGGCTTCTTCCTTCCCTCTGCGTAGCTCCCAGGGAGTGTCGCATCTGTGGAGGACTTGCGATGTTTGAGTGTAGAGATTGCTATGAAGACCCCGACATCACAGCAGGGAAGATCAAGCAGTTCTGTAAGACCTGCTGCACTCAGGTAATCCACACTCACTGCACCAGTCAGAGTCAAAGGGCATTTTAAACATTCACAGTAAATGTTATTGCTCATGTCTCTTCTGCCGGTGTGTGTGTATGTGTGTGTGTGTGTGTGTGTGTGTGTGTGTAGAACTTGGCTGGGCTGGTCAATGAAAGTGATTAGAGTCTGCCCTTGAAACATGGCATTTAGCTCACTTGTGGTATTTTCTTCATGGTCCATTTTAGGTTCACCGCCATCCTAAGAGAATGAATCATACCTATCACCCAGTATCACTTCCCAAAGACTTGCCTGACTGGGACTGGAGACACGGCTGCATCCCCTGCCAGAAGATGGAGTTATTTGCTGTTCTCTGCATAGAAACGAGCCACTATGTTGCTTTTGTGAAGTATGGGAAGGATGATTCAGCCTGGCTCTTCTTTGACAGCATGGCTGATCGAGATGGTATTTAAAACTCGTCTTTTGGAGGGAGATGCTTCCTAGTGAGAGCACGTGTTTGTGGTAATAGGGTATTTTGTGAGCAGATTCTTGAAAGGATACCACAGTGGGACGGACTTCAATCTTCAAAGGGTATTACTAATTCTGCTCCTCAAACTAAGGAGCAATAATGTTGTGCCATCTTGGTCCTTACGTGGATTTGTTAAAGAATCCTAGCCATAATCCCAGACTTGGGAAGTAGAGGATTGTGAATCAGAGGTCAGTTTGTATTGCATAGTGAGAACCTGATTCAATTTGTCCAACCTCAAAAGAAAACAAAGATCCTAAAATTTATTTAGAGCTGATTTTACCATCTTCTTCCTTGCATTTTTATGTACAGTAGAGTAGCCATTTATTGAGGACATAAATGCCAAACTCTGTGGGAATACTTAGGTCATGGAAATCATGCCTGTTTTTCTATTGTCTAAGCTAACGTTAAAGGTGGTGAAGGTTGCATGGTATGAATTTACCTCAGTCTTCCTGATCTCATGCGTTTTATTTCAGGAAGAAACCTTTTCTCATTGAGATGTTTTTAGGAAGCTTAGTCATTACTTAGTACACACTTGAGTGACAGGGGTCTTGGTAGTAAGGTACTTGTCACAGTACCTGTCCATACCCCATTTACACTACAGCTCTTCTTCCAAGCCCTAGTTCCCCAGGTCTTCAGGTGTGACACTTTAATAACCAGAGGCACCGAGTGACGGCTTCTTGACCAGAGGCCCAAGCTGTAGACCAACAGTTCTTCATTTCTGCATAGCTCTGATGCCTGATGGCACAGCCCACCCCTGTGTGTGCTTCACTCAGCATTAGCAGCATAACTTTTGGGAACGCATCTGGGAGAGCAAATCTGATCATCAGAGCACGTGCGCGTTCTGATGATTAGTATCTAAAACAGCCGTGCTAGAGGTATGCAAGTATGTTCTTAAAACATAGGGAAACAGTAGCGCTCACAATTGGCTTCTTGTGGAAAAGTGTCAGACTGTTAGTGTCTGGGAAGGACAGAAAAGTCTGAGGGGCCTAGAGCAGCAGCCTGCAAATCGGGACTGCAGCTTTTCCTAAGTGCATGTCCTTTTACCAGGTTTTTTTTTTTTTTTCACTTTTCTCTGCTTGAGCCCTCTCAGAAGCCAATAAAAGGAGACCGTAATTCTAGAAACTGAAAGTCAAACAAAGTTTTGTTGTTTGTTTTGTTTTGTTTTGTTTTTGATTCTGGGAGTCAGTCTTCACTAAATTCTAGGATAGTAAAATTGTTCTGGTTGGACAGGCTGCCAGGAGGACTTAGAAGTTTGCTGCCCTAATGAGAGCTCTCTCTCTCCCTAGGGGGTCAGAATGGCTTCAACATTCCACAAGTGACACCCTGCCCTGAAGTGGGAGAGTACTTGAAGATGTCTCTGGAGGAGCTGCACTCCTTGGATTCCAGAAGGATTCGAGGCTGTGCACGCAGACTTCTTTGTGATGCGTACATGTGCATGTACCAGAGTCCAACCATGAGCTTGTACAAATAACATGTCATCTGAAAGGGGCAGAGGCCAAGCACAAAGCTTAACACCATGTGTCTTCCAGCTGGCACCCATTATGGGCAATGGGTGTCTTTTTTGTTGATGGCCCTTTAGCAAAGGATTCCTGTGTTTTTAAACAAATTATTTTTGTGTTCTTGAAGTATTTAATAAGCATTTTGCACTCTAGGAAGTATGTTTTGTTGGTTTTTTAAAAGTTTTAATGAAGTTTAGTTTAAATTAAGTTTTGTTTTTTTAAGTTTATTGAGTTAATTGCATTGATAATATAATATTTTTGGAAAGATACAATTTTAATTGTTACGTCTAAAATCTTTTAGTCCATTGAGGATGTAAGTAAATATTTCTTCTTATGGACCAAGGATATTAAATCGTTTTTCTTTTTTGAGTGCCTTGAGGAAGAAATAATATGGTTTTACTGAGTCTGCTGGTGGGTGGCCTTAAATGGCATTACTTTATCCTCAAGAGTACCGCAGGGTCCTGGCCACTCTCCTGGGAGTGCTGACAGTTTAGTATCATCCGATTTGAGTTCTCATTTTCTTCCCAATGGATTTGAGGGAGAAGGGCTTTGATGTAGGGATTGTCCTTCCAGGCACCGTAGGCCTCTGCACAGTTCTCTTGTGCTTTTAAATACTGCTTATGTTCACTAATTATTCATTCTAAAGGGATTATGCAGGAGATGCAACTGTCTTTGGTTTTATATTATGAAATAGCCTTGTATTGTGGGATGTTAACTCTGGAGAGTCGCCCTCATACTCAAAGTATTCATTAAAAACAATCCCCTGATACTCCCTAGGGGGTGTGTGGCTATTATCAGGCTGACCCAAAGGAACACATTTTGTATTCCATTTCCTTTACTGGTATCTTGTTAAAAATTTTTTGCCTGAAGAATATTGTTTTGTTTGTGAAAACATGAATAACATTGTATAAAACAGTCCCTTTCTGTCCGAATGCTCCAATGTAGCCTTAATTTTGTTAGAGACGATTGAAGTGCTGTTATGGAAATAAATGTACCATTACTATTTCTGTATCAGTAAAACGCAGTTTTATGGTTCTTTCTCTTTGAAAAAAAATTTCTGCCTTCCCCCAGCCTCCCATTTCCCTCCCCCTCCTCTCCCCCTCCCCCCACTCCTCCCCCCCACTCCTCTCCCCCTCCTCCCACTCCTCTCCCCCTCCTCCCACTCCTCTCCCCCTCCCTCTCCAGTACAAAGAGCAGTCAGGGTTCCCTGCCCTGTGGAAAGTCCAAAGTCCTCCCCCCTCCATCCAGGTCTAGGAAGGTGAGCATCCAAACTGGCTAGGCTCCCACAAAGCCAGAACATGAAGTAGGATCAAAACCCAGTGCCATTGTTTTTGGCTTCTCAGCAGCCCTCATTGTCCGCCATATTCAGAGAGTCAGGTTTTATCCCATGCTTTTTCAGTCCCAGTCCAGCTAGACTTGGTGAGCTCCCAAAACGGGGTGAAAACTATTATGTCAGAAGGAGAAGGGGGAAATGTGGGTACAACAGTCACTGGTCGTGTGCATCGTTTTCAGAAGGACGTAACTGTACAAAGCAGAATCTAGGAGGAGGATGAAGTAAAAATACAGTTATAATAGGATGTACACATTGCTTACACTTAGAAAACCCAACAGATAAAATGTATAGATAGAAATAGAGAAGAAATACACAAGAAATTTACAAATTTGATCTAAAACATACATGGAATAGTCCATCTTATACTGCCCCCCTTTCCTTCCCTGAGACAGGTCTATGTAGCCCAGGCTAGCCTTGAACTTGAAGAAACTGCCTGCTTTTTAGTCTTCCTGGTGCTGTGATTACATTTGCCCCAAGTTCTAGATTTCTTTTGCTTTTTAGTAGAACACATACAAAAAATTAATCCAGTCTGTGTTTTCAAAGGACATTCTAGGACAATTTATAAAAGTGGAAATTTTCTAGGGCATATTTCCTGATCATAGTTTATGATAGAAGAAGGGGGATGGGAGAAACAAACAGTAAAAAGAGACTCCATTCAAAGCCATTTAATTACTTGGAAATTACAAGGAATGATACAAAGCAGTCTTTTACTAAAATGTAAATGAACCTAAAATTACCAACCTCACAGAAAGCAATAATGGAGGAAACTCCATACAAAACATACGCGATGCTTTATCCTTATTGGAAATTCATAGCCTTAAATTATCCCTATTGGGAACTCAGAGCCTTAAATGTTTTATTTTTTAAAAGAATATAGAGAAAAATAAAATTCAATTTAAAGAGTTATAACACCACCAAAATTAAACAAGCAAAATATTGGAAGAGAAAATAAAGATCTAAATTAACAAATAGGAGGTGAGGAGGAAAGCAGGAAGGGCAGGTCGGCTGACATGTAAGAATGCCCGCACACAGGTGAAGACCCAGCAAGTTTCTGAAGGCTCAAAAACCGCACAAAGAAAGAACCAGAATCTGATAATGTGATGGAGAAGGCGCAGGGCCACAGGGCAGGCAAGAGAAACATAGAGTGGGCTGTGGTTGTCCCTTGTCCACGCTTCCCTGTCCCAGAAGAGGGCTCTCTCTTGTTGGCTTTGTTCAAAAATGCGGAAATAATAAATAATATTTTCAACACAGATTATACAAAATTACTTGGTCTAGACACTTTAAAAAAAATCAAGAATGAGACTTAACTGCCCAGATGAAGGCATGTGACATCTACAGGCAATTCAGTGACTCCTCATGGACTGGGACTTTGCTCTGAAGTATATTGATGGGTGTTATGGAATATTAGGTGAAGATGTGTTACATTTGTTTGTGCTGTGGAGCATTTGTTTAATGATGCAAAGATATGTTGCATTCTCTTACACTGTGTTTGTTTCACTCTGTGAAGCTGTGTTACTGTGCCTGCCTGAAACACCTGATTGTCTAATAAAGAACTGAACGGGCCAATAGCAAGGAAAGAGAAAGGATACGTGGGGCTGGAAGGCAGAGAGAGAGTAAATAGGAAGAGAAATGGGAAGAGAAGATCAAGGAACAAGAGTAGGAGAGAAGACATTGGGGGCCAGTCACCTAGCTACACAGCAAGCCACAGAGTAAGAGGTAAAGAAAGGCATATAGAATAGAGAAAGATAAAAGTCCAGGAGCAAAAGGTAGATGGGATAATTCAAGTTAAGAAAAGTTGACTAGAAATAAGCCAAGCCTAGACCAGGCATGTGTAAGAAAGAATAAGCTTCTGAGCATTTATTTGGGGGCTGGGTCGTGGGCCCCCAAAGAACAAAGAGAAAAAAACAGCTACAGAGGGAAATTATTATTAGCAAAATCTACTTGTGTCAATAAGGGAATACTAATATTCCAAATTTTAAAAATTTACCTGAATGCTGGTGTGCCGGCATGAGTTTATCTGTTCCACTTGTGTTTAGGTGTTATTGGAGGTCAGAAGAGGGCATAGGGTCCCCCAGAACTGGAGTTACAAGCAGCTGAGAGTGACATGTGGGTGCTGGGAGCCAAACCCAGGTCCTTCGTGGTAACAGTAAACTCACTTAACCACTGAGCCATCTGTCCATCCCTCATATCCCAATTTATGTTGTTTGGTTTCTCGAGACAGGGTTTCTCTGTGTAACAGCCCTGGCTGTCCTGGAACTAGCTCTGTAGACCAGGCTGGCCTCAAACTTACAGAGATCTGCCTGCTTCTCCCTCCCAAGTGCTGAGATTAGAGGTATGTGCCACCCCCTGCCCGGCCTTGAGCTTTTCTTTTCCCCTCATCTCCCAATTTTGATGGGAATTCTATGGCTATATAAATGAATGTGCATCCGTGACAGATCATGTTAGCAAATTACTTTCAATTAGTTTAGAAAGATCAAAATTCTTCATATTGTAACTTCAGCTTTTCTGTAAGTTTGACAGTTTCAATTCTTTTTAATTAAGAAATTACAGAGAAGTGAAAAGACTTCCTGCCAATTTACTTTAGCAATGCTAGTATCAGATAAATAGTTAATGTTTTAATGCATAGACTATTTTGTTACTAAGAATAAAAAGCTAACAAATTCAAACAAGGAACTGCAATGACAAATAGGCCAAAAAAGGTACTTTAGCAGTAGTCAAGATAATGCAATTTAATGCAACATTAAATTAAAATGTTAATCAAATATCATAAAGGACCTACCAGAATTATGAATTTTTCAAAGCCAATATGGGTTATTTGGGGCATGTTGGCCGAGTGTTCTCGCACTTTGATGGAATATGGCTAAGCCCTCTGATTTTCTGGTGTGAACTTGGCAAATCCATAAAAAAATAACCATTCATCTTGACCCAGACATTCTACTCTGTAGGATCTATTTATTAGAGAAGGAAATAGAAACAAGAATATTTATTCCATCTTTGTTTTTAGTAGCATAAAACCAACATTTAGAATGACAGCTAACTATTACGATAATGAATGAACTCTAACTATGCCATAGATAAGAATGTAACTATTACTGGAAGGCTATACCAGCTGACTAACAAGAATTCCATATATTTGTATGTGGGTCTATATGTACAGGTTTGTGCATGTGTTCCCCTCCAAAGGGGAAGAAAAATATGCAGAGAAATAGATACAATAGAATCCTCTTGCTTAAAAATAGTATATATGTGTGTATATATATTTATATATGCTTACATAAATGCATAGAAAAATTTAAAAGGAATCCACATAGGCTGTTCCATCGATTAGGGTGAAAAGTTTATACAAAGACAGAAGAAGAGAAATCATTTGGATGGTATTGTACCATCTTGACTAATTTCTATCACTCTATGTGACAACTTATACCTGGATCGCGGAAACTCTGCCCATTTGGTTAAACTAATTAAGGAAGAACACTACTGTGAAAACAGTGGGAAGTATCATCTGTAGATCAACTGCCAAGCTCCAACGTAGAAGATGAAATCTGAGCCGGGCGATGGTGGCGCACGTCTTTAATCCCAGCACTCGGGAGGCAGAGGTAGGCGGATCTCTGTGAGTTCGAGACCAGCCTGGTCTAGAGAGCTAGTTCCAGGACAGGCTCCAAAGCCACAGAGAAACCCTGTCTCGAAAAACCAAAAAAAAAAAAAAAAAAAAAAAAAAAAAAAAAAAAAAAAGAAGATGAAATCTGAGAAAACCAGCAGTTGGAAGCAGGACAAGTAACTAACAAGCTCAGAGAAAAACATGTGAGGATGGAGATCAAATGCACGGGTGAAGACCAGCGTGCCAA